TAAGGGGGGAAGGGGACATGAGAGCAGGGTTGATAGAGGGGAGGGCAGATTGGGAGAGGGGATAATCAGAAGTAAACACTTCTGAGGAGGGACAGGGTCAAAAGAGAGAACATAATAAATGGGGGGTAGGATAGGATGAAGGGAAATATACTTAGTTTTTCATAACATGACTACTATAGAAGTGTTTTACATGACTACACATCTATAAGCTGTATCGAGATGCTTGCCTTTTCAATGAGGGTGGGTGGAGAGGGAGGAGGGGAGAAAATTTGTAACCCAAAGTTTTAAAAACACATGTTAAAATAAAAAAAAATTTTAAAAAAAGACTGAAATATTCAAGTACCTGAGGCCAAGATAGATCTGAAATTGCTACATCAGTCACCTTGAGTGGAAAAGAGAAGGAAAGGCAAGTATCATAAGTCAGAAGTCGAAAAGGAGTCTAAAATCCATAGTCTACCCAAGTCTGGGTAGGGTGGAGTTTGAGAGAGGAGATAATTGATAGAAGTAGAATAAATAGGCAGAGCCAAGATGGCAGAGGGAAAGCAGTGACTGTCTTGAGCTCTCTCACAAAGCCCTCCAAATATGGCTCTAAACAAATTCTAAAGCAGCAGAACCCACAAAAAGACAAAGTGAAACAAATATCCAGCTGAAGACAGCCTGGATGGTTAATCGGAAAGGTATATCGCACTGGGCGAGGAGAGGAGCACAGTTCGATGTGGGCACGCAGGCTGCAATGAACCTGGAGCAGGCCTCTGAAGACTGAATCGTAGGCAGCTGTGGCAGTTTCCAGACTTCTCAACGCCTGAACACCAAAGACAACTTAGAAGGTCAGTGGGAAAAGTCTGTGACTGTGGTGAGAGAGGAGCTAGGTCTCAGCCGCAAGTCTCGAGCATGGCCCAGGGCCGCGGCTTTTTCTTGAGCTTCTGACCCACAGACTGAGGGAGAATCCAGTGGCTGATCAGAGGGGGACTGCAGGGATCTCTTTGCCAGTGCTGAGGCAGGAATCTCTTGCTTTACTGGTGCTTGGATCTGGGTGGCAGTTCTGAGGGGCGGTCCTGGGGCGAGAAGGAATGCTGGTATGGTGGAGCTTGTTGTGGTGGTGGAGAGAAAACACCTTGCCCCTTATCATACCCCCTTGGAAGAACTGAAAATTTACAGGTCCCTAGAAGTACCTCTGAAAACAGCTGTACAAACCCCCACCGCTTGGGACAGTACACTCTTCACATTGGAAGCAGACTTTTACCTTAACAAAGAGTTTAAAACTCAAGTAATTGGCCGGGATCGTGAGCAAGCAGCGCAAAAAGAGTCAGACTATATTATCTTACTTTGGTGATAAAGAAGATCAAAACATACAACCAGAAGAAGACAACAAAGCCAAAGCTCCTTCATCCAAAGCCTCCAAGAAAAACATGAATCAGTCCCAGGCCTTGGAAGAGCTCAAAAGGGATTTTGAGAAGCAAGTAAGAGAAGTAGAGGAAAAACTGAGAGTGATGCAAGAAAATCATGAAAAACAAGTCAACAGCTTGCTAAAGGAGACCCAAAAAAATGCTGAAGAAAATAACACCTTAAAAAATAGCCTAACCCAAATGTCAAAAGAGGTCCAAAAAGCCAATGAGGAGAAGAATGCTCTAAAAAGCAAAACTGGCCAAATGGAAAAGGAAGTCCAAAAGATTACCGAAGAAAATACTTCCCTAAAAATTAGAATAGAGCAATTGGAATCTAGTGACTTTATGAGAAATCAAGACACTGTAAAACAAATCCAAAAGAATGAAAAATTAGAAAACAATGTGAAATATCTCATTGGAAAAACAACTGACCTGGAAAATAGATCCAGGAGAGAGAATTTAAAAATTATTGGACTATCTGAAAGCCATGATCAAAAAAAGAGCCTAGACATCATCTTTCAAGAAATTATCCAGGACAACTGTGCTGATATTTTAGAACCAGAGGGCAAAATAGAAATTGAAAGAATCCAGCTATCTCCTCCTGAAAGAGATCCCCAAAGGAAAACTCCTAGGAATATTGTAGCCAAATTCCATAGTTCCCAGGTCAAGGAGAAAATATTACAAGCAGCCAGAAAGAAACAATTCAAGTATTGTGGAAACACAATCAGGATAACACAAGATTTAGCTGCTTCTACATTAAAGGACCACAGGGCATGGAATATAGTATTCCGGAGAGCAAAGGAGATAGGATTACAACCAAGAATCACCTACCCAGCAAAACTGAGTATAATTCTTCAGGGGAAAAAATGGTCATTCAGTGAAATAGAGGACTTTCAAGCATTCTTGATGAAAAGACCAGAGTTGAAGAGAAAATTTGATTTTCAAATACAAGACTCGAGTGGAACATGAAGAGGTAAACAGGAAAGAGAAAATCATAAGAGACTTATTAAGGTTGAACTGTTTACATTACTGCATGGAAAGATGATATTTGTAACTCATGAGACCTTTGTCAGTATTAGGGTAGTTGGAGGGGGAAAAATTATATGTACGTATATATAGATATAGATAGATAGATAGATAGATAGATAGATAGATAGATAGATAGATAGATAGAGGGTACAGGGTGAGTTGAAAATGAAGGGGTCATATCTGGAAAATAAAATTAAGGGGTGAGAGAGGAATATACTAGGAGAAGGAGAAAGGGAGAAGTAGAACAGGGTAAATTATCCCACAAAAAAAAAAACAGAAAAGAAAAGGCTCTTACAGTGGAGGGGAAATGGGGGAAGGTGAGAGGGAATGAGTGAATCTTATTCTCATAGGATTTGACTTAAGGAGGGAACAATATAGACACTCAATTGGGTGTGGAAATCTGTCTTACCCTACAGGAAAATTGGGGGGGAAAGAGAGTAGGGGAATGATAGAGAGGAGGGCAGATTGGGAAAGGGAGTAATCAGAAGCAAATACTTCTGAGGAGGGACAGGGTCAAAAGAAAGAATAGAATAAATGAGGGGGCGGGATAGGATTAAGGGAAATAGAGTTAGTTTTTCACAGCATGTCTACTATGGAAGTGTTTTGCATAACTGCACATATATAACCTATATTTAGTCACCTTATCAAGGGTGGGTGGGGAGGGAGGAAGGGAGAAAATTTGGAACCCAAAGTTTTAAAAACACATGTTTAAAAAAAAGTTTTCACATGCAACTGGGAAATAAGAAATACAGGAAATGGGGTACAGAAATCCATCCTGCCCTACAGGGAAATTGAAGAGGAAGGGGATAAGAGAAGGGGGGGAAAAATAGAAGGGAAGGCAGACTAGGGGAAGGGGTATTCAGAATGCATGCCATCTTGGGGTGAGAGGAGGGGTGATATGGGGTGAAAATTTGGAACTCAAAATCTTGTGGAAGTAAATGTTGAAAACAAAAAAATAAATTAAAAAAAATTACCCAATCACATGTCAAGTCAATTTCTAGCATCCATTTTTACAAGATTTTGAGTTCCCAATTTTTTTCCCTCCCTCTCCTTCCTTCCCCTGAAAATAGTAGTTAAATAGATATGTTTGTGTTGTCATGTAAATCATATTTGCATATTAGTCACAGTTGGGAAAGAAGAAACACATCAAAAAGAAAAAATATGAAAAAGAATAAAGTGAAAAAAGTCTGCTTCAAAAAAAAAAGTAGAATAAATAGGCAGTGGACATTGGGGGGAGGTCTGATAGCAAATATCAATGGATCCATTATGGAGATTAAAGTTCAAGGGTAGGAAATTCCTTCTTTTGTTTCTTTCCACACATCAGTTAGTGGGGAATAGGAATAAGTCAGGGGTGGGGAACCTGCAGCCTGAAGGGCCACATGTGGCCCTCTAGGTCCTCAGGTTCAGCCCTTTGACTGAATCCAAAATTCACAGAACAAATCTCCTTAATAAAACAATTTGTTCTGTAAAACTTGACTCAGTACACATGGGGCTTTGAGGCTGAAGGTTTCCCACCCCTGGCCTAGATGATTAGGACAGGCCAAGAAGAAAGACTAAGCAGTTATCTCCTTATATTTCTTCTAAAAAGGGTCAGAACTGGTCCCAGAGTCTGGAGGTGTGGCTGGGTGGATCAGTGCTCAACCTATAAGTAGTAGAAGAATGCAGGGATAAAGAATGGGGTAATGACGATGAGGATGATGATAGCCAATACTTATTTTGCATTTGAAGATTATCAAAGTGTTTTGCATATATTTTTTATTTGATTTTCACATCAGCCCTGTGAGACAGATGAGGAAAGTGAGGCTGACTTGCCTAAGATCACACAGCTAATATGTGTCTGAGGCAAAATTTAACCTCAGGTCTTCCATACTCCAAGTCCAATGCTCTGTCTGTGTCATGTTGTTCAGTTGTTTCAGTAGTGTCCAACTTTTTGTGACTCCATTTGGGGTTCTCTTGGCAAAGATACTGGAGTGGTTTTCCATTTCCTTCTCCAGTTCATTTTACAGATGAAGAAACTGAGGCAAATGGTTACGTGACTTGTCCAGGGTCACACAGCTAGTAAGTGTCTGAGACCAGAAGATGAGTCTTCCTGACTCCAGGCCTGGCACTCTATCCACTGTCCCATCTAGCAGCCCTGTGTCATCCCCCCAGCTGTAGTCACCTCTCTTACATCTGAGCCTTTGATAAACTCACCTAAATGTCTGGCTTTGTAGTGCCAAGTGTAAGTAGGAAGAAAGAACTGATTCTTTTAAGTAAGCTTTGTCTTTTGCTTGCAAAGGAAAGTGCTGCTTCTCGTTTCAGTATTCAGGGGGGAAAAAAGGAAATATAGTACTAAATGCTTTTAAAGAGGGTACTTTTCCCATGAGAAGAATCTGCTTAAAATAAAATATATCAACGTAATCAGATTTTTAGATCCACTGGTTTGTGGATAAATGCTGTACTTGATACAAGATGTTATTTACTTCTGGTACTTGAGTATCTCATTAGGTCTCTCCTTAAGCTATTTTCTGTACAAAATGAAGATCAGTACCCAGAATGAGATGTGTCTGTTGAGATGAATAATATTGGTGCTTGTTTTTATTTCAGCTGGTTTTTCTAGAATTCTTTGAAGCTCTGTTAGGCTGTGCACTTTTCTCCGATACAACGCAGACAGATAAGCAACAACAAGGAAGCCACACAGCCGATGATTTTACTGCAGTCAAATATATCAGCACACAACAGGTAAAAAAAAAATCAAATTTAAAATTTATGTAGAGCTAGGGCTGTATCCCAAAAGAAATAAAAAAAAAGGGGGGGTCAGAGCCAAGATGGAAGAGTAAAAGCAGTGACTTGCTTGAGCTCTCCTCCAAACCCCTCCAAATACCTGTAAAAAATGGCTCTAAACAAATTCTAGAGCAGCAGAATCCACAAAAAGACAGAGTGAAACAAATTTTCAGCCCCAGACAACCTGGATGGTTGATTGGAAAGGTCTATCGTGCCAGGCTGGGAGAGGAGTGCTGTTCAGTGTGGGCATGCAGGCAAAGACCAGGCCTTAGGGGACTGAATCATGAGCAGCTGTGGTGGTTTCTAGACTTCTCAACCCACAAATGCCAAAGACAACTTAGAAGGTCAGTAGGAAAGATCTGTTGGACCTAGGTGAGAGAGAAACTCAGTCTCAGCCCCAGTCCCAGCACAGCCTCAGAGGGGCTGCTTCCAGAGCTCTTGGCCCACAGACTGAGGGGGAATCAAGTGACTGATCAGAGGGGGATTGCAGGGATCTCTTTGCTGGCTCTGAGGCAGGAATCTCTTGCTTTGTCTGTGCTTGGATCTGGACCACAGTGGTGGTCCTGGGGTGAGAAGGAGCGCTGGTGTGGTGAAGCTTGTCATGGCGGTGGAGAGAGAATCCTCCTCACAGTTCCAAGGCAGAAAAGAGCGCTTGTGGTCACTCACAGATGAGAGCACAGGCCAGGAAAGGAGTAAACACCTCACCCTTGATCATTCCACCTTGAATGAACTGAAAATTTACAGGTCCCTAGAAGTATCTCTGAAAATAGCTGTGCAAAACCCCCAAAGCCTGGGACAGTACATTCTCCACACTGGAAGCAGACCCCTACCTTAACAAAGAGTTTAAAATTCAAGTAATTGGCTGGGATCATGAGCAAACTGCGCAAAAAAAGTCAGATTGTAGAATCTTTCTTTGGTGCCAAAGAAGATCAAAACATACAACCAGAAGAAGACAACAAAGTCAAAACTCCTACATCCAAAGCCTCCAAGAAAAATATGAATCAGTCCCAGGCCATGGAAGAGCTCAAAAAGGATTTTGAGAAGCAAGTAAGAGAAGTAGAGGAAAAACTGGGAAGAGAAATGAGAGTGATGCAAGAAAATCGTGAAAAACAAGTCAACGGCTTGCTAAAGGAGATCCAAAAAAATACTGAGGAAAATAACACCTTAAAAAATAGCCTAACCCAAATGGCAAAAGAGGTCCAAAAAGCCAACGAGAAGAATGCCTTAAAAAGTAGAATTGGGAAGATGGCAGAGGGAAAGCAGTGACTTGCTAGAGCTCTCCCCCAAACCCCTCCAAATACCTATAAAAAATGGCTCTAAACAAATTCTAAAGCAGCAGAACCCACAAAAAAAAAGAGTAAATCAAATTTCCAGCCCAAGACAACCTAGATGGCTGATCAGAAAGGTATATCGCACTGGGCTGGGAGAGGAGCACAGTTTGGCGTGGGCGTGCAGGCCACAGCGACCCTGGAGCAGGCCTCAGAGGACTGAATCGAGGGCGGCTGTGGCGGTTTCCAGAGCATGCCCTCAGGGCAACTGCTGCCTCCTGAGCTTCCGGCTCACAGACTGAAGGGGAATCGAGTGGCTGATCAGAGGGGGATTGCAAGGATCTCTTTGCCAGGGCTGAGGCAGAAATCTCTTGCTTTGCCCATGTTGGATCTGAGTCACAGTTCTGAGGGGTGGTCCTGGGGCAAGGAAGAGCACTGGCCAGGAGGAGTGCTGGTGTGGTGGAGCTGGTTGTGGTGGTGGAGAGGAAACACTTTGCCCCTAATCATAGCACCTTGGAAGAACTGATACTTTTCAGGTCCCTAGAAGTATGTCTGAAAACAGCTGTACAAACCCCCACAGCTTGGGACAGTACATTCTCCACAATGGAAACAGACTCTTACCTTAACAAAGAGTTTAAAGCTCAAGTAATTGGTTGGGATCATGAGCAAGCAGCACAAAAAGAGTCAGACTATATTATCTTACTTTGGTGACAAAGAAGATCAAAACATACAACCAGAAGAAGAAAACAAAGTCAAAGCTCCTACATCCAAAACTTCCAAGAAAAATATGAATCAGTCTCAGGTTGGAAGAGCTCAAAAGGGATTTTGAGAAGCAAGTAAGAGAAGTAGAGGAAAAACTGGGAAGAGAAATGAGAGTGATGCAAGAAAATCATGAAAAACAAGTTAACAGCTTGCTAAAGGAGACCCAAAAAAATAATGAAGAAAATAACACCTTAAGAAATAGCCTAACCCAAATGGCAAAAGAGGTCCAAAAAGCCAAAGAAGAGAAGAATGCCCTAAAAAGCAAAACTGGCCAAATGGAAAAGGAACTCCAAAAGCTTACTGAAGAAAATACTTCCCTAAAAATTAGAATAGAGCAATTGAAATCTAGTGACTTTATGAGAAATCAAGATACTGTAAAACAAATGCAAAAGATTGAAAAATTAGAAAACAATGTGAAATATCTCATTGGAAAAACAACTGACCTGGAAAATAGATCCAGGAGAGATAATTTTAAAATTATTGGACTATCTGAAAGCCATGATCAAAAAAAAGAGCCTAGACATCATCTTTCAAGAAATGATCAAGGAAAACTGTGCTGATATTTTAGAACCAGAGGGCAAAAAAGAAATTGAAAGAATCCACTGATCTCCTCCTGAAAGAGATCTTCAAAGGAAAACTCCTAGGAATATTGTAGCCAAATTCCAGAGCTCCCAGGTCAAGGAGAAAATATTACAAGCAGCCAGAAAGAAGCAATTCAAGTATTGTGGAAACACAATCAGGATAACACAAGATTTAGCTGCTTCTACATTAAGGGATGGAATATAATATTCCGGAGGGCAAAGGAGACAGGATTACAACCAAGAATCACCTACCTAACACAAGATTTAGCAACTTCTACATTAAGGGACCAGACGGCTTGGAATGTAACATTCTGGAGGTCAAAGGAGATAGGATTACAGCCAAGAATCACCTACCCAGCAAAACTAAGTATAATCCTTCAGGAGAAAAATGGACATTCAGTGAAATGGAGGACTTTCAAGCATTCCTGAGGAAAAGACCAGATCTGAATAGAAAATTTGACTTTCAAATACAAGACTCAAGAGAAGCATGAAAAGGTAAACAGGAAAGAGAAATCATAAGGGACTTATTAAAGTTGGACTGTTTACATTCCTACATGGAAAGATATTTGTAACTCATGAGACCTTTGTCAGTATTAGGGTAGTTTGAGGGAAAAAAAATATATATGTATATATATATATATAGTTAGAGAGATAGATAGAGGACACAGGTGAGTTGAAGATGAAGGGGTGATATCTAAAAAATAAAATTAAGGAGTGAGAGAGAGGATTGTACTGGGAGAAAGAGAAAAGGAGAAGTAGGATGGGGTAAATTATCTCACATAAAACAGACAAGAAAAAGCTTTTACAGTGGAGGGGAAGTGGAGGAAGGTGAGAGGGAATGAGTGAATCTTATCTTCATAGGATTTGGCTTAAGGAGGGAATAACATACACACTTATTTGGGTATGAATATCTCTTACCCTACAGGAAAATAGGGGGAAAGGGGATAATTGAGTGAGGGGGATGATAAAAGGGAGGACAGATTTGAGGAAGGGGTCATCAATTCTGCAAACAATTCTGAGGAGGGACAGGGACAAAAGAGAGAATAGAATACATGGGGGCAGGATAGGAGGAAGGGAAATATAGTTAGTTTTTCACAACTTGACCACTGTGGAAGTGTTTTGCATGACTGCACATGTATAACCTATATCAAGTTGCTTGCCTTCTCAATGAGGGTGGGTAGGGAGGGAGGAAAGGAGAAAATTTGGAACCCAGAGTTTTAAAAACAAATGTTAAAATTATTTTCACATGCAACTAGGAAATAAGATACACAGGCAATGGAGTATAGAAATCTATCCTGCCCTATAGGAAAATAGAAGGGGAAGGGGATAAGAGAAGGGGGAGTGATAGAGGGAGGGCAGATCAGGGGAATGAGTATTCAGAATGCACACCGTATGGAGTGGACAGAGGGGTGAGATGGGGAGAAAATTTGGAACTCAAAATCTTGTGGAAGTGAATATTGAAAAATAAAAATAAATAAATTAATAAAAACAAAAAAACAAAAAGGAGAATGACCTATATGTACAAAAATATTTATGGCATCTCTTTTCTAGGGGTAAAGAATTAGAAGTTGAGGGAATGCCCATCAATTGGGGAATGGCTGAACAAGTTGTGATATGTGATTGTGATGGAATACTATTGTACTATAAGAAATGATGAGCAGGATGCTTTCAGAAAAACCTGGAAAGACTTGCTTGGGCTGATGCAAAGTGAAATGTGCTGTGCACAAAGTAATAGTGATATTGTAAGATGATCAGCTGTGAATGACTTAGCCATTCTCAGCAATATAATGTAGATCATTATAGACAGGTCTGAAAGACTTATGATGAAAAATGCTATCCATCCCCAGAGAAAGAACAGATGGTGTCTGAATATAGATTGAAGCATACTTTTTTCCCGCTTTCTTTATTTTTCTTGAGTTTTTTTTGTCTGTTTTCTTTCATAGCATGACTATTATGGATATGTTTTCCATGACTATACATGTATAACCTATGTAAACTGCTTACCTTCTTAATGGGTGGGGGGGAGGGAGGAAGGGAGAGAATTTGGAACTCAAGAGTTTTAAAAATGAATGTTAAAAATTGTTTTTGGAAGGGGCAGCTAGGTGGCGCAGTGGATAGAGCACTGGCCCTGGATTCAGGAGGACTTGAGTTCAAATTTGGTCTCAGACACATAATACTTAACTAGCTATGTGACCCTGGGCAAGTTACTTAATCCCATTACCTAGCCAAAAAAATAAATAAATAAAATTTTTTAAAAAATTGTTTTTGGGGCAGCTAGGTGACACAGTGGATAGAACTCCGGCCTTGGAGTCAGGAGTCCCTGAGTTCAAATATGACCTCAGACACTTGACGCTTACTAGCTGTGTGACCCTGGGCAAGTCACTTAATCCTGATTGCCTCACTAAAAAGAAAAAACAAAGTCACCCTCTCCCCTCAGTTTTCCTCCTCCATTGTAAAAATTCTTTGGGCCCTTCTTTTATGTGAAATAATTTCCTCCATTTTTCTTCTCCCTTCCCCCTTCTCCCAGTACATCCCTCTTTCTCACCCTTTCCATTTTTATTTTTCTTTTATTTTTTATTAAACTATTTATTAATTTTTAGTTTTCAACGTTCACTTCCATAAGATTTTGAGTTTCAAATTTATTCCCCCTTCCTCTCCTCCCCCCTCCCCAAGATAGCACGCAGTCTGATATAGGCTCTACTTATATGTTCATATTAGTCATGATGAAAAGAAGAATTAGAACCAATGGGAGGAACCATGAGAAAGAAGAATCAAAACCAAACAACAAAAGAAAAGGAGAGCAAATAGTATGTTTCCATCTGCATTCAGATTCCATGGTTCTTTCTCCAGATGTGGACAGCTTTTTCCATCATGAGTCTTTTGGAGTTGTCTTAGATTCTTGCATTGCTGAGAAGTCAGTCACCACACAGTGTGGCTGTTATTGTATACAATGTTCTCCTGGTTCTTCTCACTTCACTCAGCATCAGTCTTTCCAGGTTTTTCTGAAGTCTGCCTGCTCATCATTTCTTATAGCACAATAGGATTCCATTACTTTTATATACCACAGCTTGTTCAGCCATTCCCCAATTGATGGGCATCCCCTCAATTTCCCATTTTTGGCCACACAAAAAGAGCTGCTATAAATATTTTTGTACATGTGGGTCCCTTCCATTTTTCTTTTGAGATCATCCCAATGTAACCTAGCTTCCATCAAGTCCCAAACAAAAGCCTACCTTCTATAGGAAGCCTTTTCCAACTCCTCTTAATTCTAGTGCCTTCCCTCTGTTAATTATTTCCTATTTATCCTATATATAACTTATTTGTTGTATTTGTTTGTTTATTGTCTCCTCCATTAGATTGTAAGCTCTTGAGGAAAATGATTGTCTTTTGCCTCTTTTTATATTTTTTTTAAGGCAATTGGGGTTAAGTGACTTGCCCAGGGTCATACAACTAGTAAGTGTCAAGTGTTTGGTCTGAGGCCAGATTTGAACTTGGGTCCTCCTGACTTCAGGGCCAGTGCTCTATACACTGCACCACCTAGCTGCCCCTCTTTTTATATTCTTGGCACATGGTGGGTGCTTAATAAATGTTGATCGATTGATTCTCCTTGGCAGAAAAAAACAGAAGAAACATAAGAGTTTAGCAGTTCTACTTTCTCTCTCTAGTTTTTTTTTTTTTATGTTATAGACCTCATTTGTAGTTTGGTGAAGCCCATGGACACTTTCTGAGAAGGAGGTGAGAGAAAGGTGCTCCAGCAGATGTCTGGATAACTGAAGTCTCCATCACTACCATACTGGCTGTCTGACCTTGGACAAGTCACTTAACCTTTGCCTGCCTCAGTTTTCTCCTCTTTAAAATGGAGAAAATAATTGCACCTACCTCTCAGGGTTGTAGTGAGGGTAAAATGAGAATATTTGTAAAACATTTTGCAAACCTTAAAGTGCTATATAAATGCTAGCTATCCTTATTATTAATGGAATTACTGGATCAGAGAATATTATTATTTCTATAACTCTTCTTGTACATTGACAGATTGCCCTCTAAAAACATTCTACCTAAAATTACTATGTATCTGATACCTACTTACATGTGTACATAGTGTTGTTTCTCCTGCTAGGATGTGAGCTCCTCAGTGGCAGAGGATGGTTTCTATGTGCCCCCAGTGCCTAACACAATGCCTGACTTCGGGAGGCCCTTACATGCTGATTAGTTGATTCTACCAGCAATGTTTCTCCATAACCCTAACAGCTTTGTTTTGCCACTTTATCGTATTTGCCGATATGATAGGCGTACATCTTTGCCCTCCTTTTGGGTTTTCTTTCACTTTTATTGGTGCTTTTTGTTTTCACATCACATTAATTAATAAATACCTCCTCCCTTCTCTCCTCAGAGAATCATCACTTGTAACAAGTATTAATTTGTTTTTTATTAGAATGTTTTGAACAAGAGCATGAGTGTTTTAACCAGCTATGATTCTGAAATCACTCACTTTGTCAGTGCAAAGTCTTCCTCCAGCAAGTTAGGACTACCCGTGGATCTTAACAAAATGAAGAAATCTGAGGTTTGCAAACTTAGCGAATTACAAATAGTGGGTTGCATTTGTTTTATGAAGAATAATCCAGCAGTGGTTATGCATTCGTTGTAAATATTGTTTCCTTAGTCCCATAAGGACATATATTATTTTTCAGTTATGGAGGGTTGTGTTAGCAGGTATTTGAACCTTTGTAATCATTTATTTAAGAAGCATAAATATGAATATTTTATCATGGCTAAGGAGATTTACTTAAGTACTAGTTAAGGCCACGTGTGGCCTCGAGGCCGCAGGTTCCCCACTCCTGTTAAATTGATGCCTCTTCTTGACATAGAGGTGAGCCTAGGTTCTTGAAGGCTATCCTAAGGGAGTACAAACTTCAGCAAGTCCTACCAAACTGGGAGGCCCAGCAGAGTGTGTACCTGTTATCTATGGACTAGCCTTTCTAAGTGCGCAAAGCTCCCTTGTCAGATAGGTAATCACCAGATAATGAAATCTTCTAGCCCTACCATTCAGCTTTTGAAAACTATCTCCAGTAGCACAAAGGTGCTGAGATCTCCTGCAGTGGAGGAAGTACAAATACCAAGATTATCACAGACCCTTCAAGTCTTGAACATTGATGTATACTGATAGGCCTTAAAGAAAATATCCTTATGCCTCCTTTTGGGTTTTCTTTCACTTTTATTGGTGCTTATTGTTTTCACATCACATTAATTAATAAATACCTCCTCCCTAAACTAAAATTAATTAACTAAAATAGATAGAGAAAGCTAGTTTTTATTCATATATTATTACACTATTAAAATATTTTACTTATTTATTTTCCTCTAAGACAAAGTCCAAGGAGTCTCTAAGTGAAGAAAAGGGTTCCAAACTGAACTCTAAACCCGTGGGAAAAGGAGTATCTCTTTTTTTAGCACAACTGGGTGAGTATTTTATTATATTTCTATATTAAATAGATATTAAATATAATATTAATATCGTTAACTGTTGATATTAATTATCAAATATTATTAATTAATATAATATTAAAATATATAAACATTTTCATGTTTCAGATATATTGTGTATATGTAATAAATACTTGAAAACAATATATCAGCATTGCATAATAGATACAACCTTGGAATAAGGAAGACCTTACAAATCTCGGTCACTTAACCTCTCAGTATCCTCAGCAACTCTCTGAACCTATAAATTAGAGATGATCTGCATCAAAGGAGCAAGTTTGCACATGAGGAGTTTCTGCACCAGGGACATCACAGGCCTTGGCCAATATGTATCCATTTGTGTATTCTTGTTTGTACAGATGGATACGTATTGTTGACATGTACATACATGTTCGTATCATTACATGTATTCTCCATTAATTTATCTTTCTAATGCACTAGTGTGATTCCTTTAGCAGTTTAACATCTTGGGAGTATCAGTGTCACACTTGGGCTGTCAACATCTTTTGTGTTCTCATTCTTGCTCCATGACAGGTCTCACCTTCTTTTCTGGCCTCCATGACATTGGTGATATCTTTTTACTCCTTCTCCTATATAATGCTTTAGCTGCTTAGATCCATCATGTCCTCTGGGCTATTTGTAATTTGGATTCCTCCAAGATCTTTTGGGGTCCCACAGTTAGCAGTCATGTAGTGTCACTGGAAGAATACTAATGGTAAGGAAACATGCCTTTACTGCAGGGAGTAGGTTGGGACTATTCCAAGTATTATACCACTTTCCAAATGTTATCGAGCTCTTCTAATCCCTTCCTCCTATTTAATTCTGGACCCTCTTTTGGTTGCACTGTTTTAGTGATCCAGCTGAGGGTGAGGACCACAAATTTGTAGTCAGCACAGCCACTCTGATTTAATGTCTTTTTCTTTCGTGATGCTTGTAGCTTGGCATCAAGAATAAAGAACTCAGGTGGTGGGGGGTTACCCAGGGTGTCAGATTAACAGGTTAAAAGAAGGTCAAGGGGCAAATATGTATGACGGTTACTAAATCACTAAATTGGTAGACCATGGTGTCAAGGATAGAGAAATGAGGCTAGGGTGGTAAAGAAGGATTGGGAAAATGCAGGTTGGCCCATCAATTGGGGAATGACTGAACGAATTGTGGCATATGAATGTAATGGAATACTATTGTGCTATAAGAAATGATGAACAGGCTGACTTCAGAAAAACATGGAAAGACTTGTATGGTCTGATGCTGAGTGAAGTGAGCAGAACCATGAGAACATTGTACACTGTAACATCCACAATGTGCGATGACTAATATTGATAAACTTAACCCTTCCCAGCAATACAAGGATCTATAAGATATCTCTAAAGGCCTTGTGATGGAAAATGCTATCCACATCCAAAGAAAGAACTATGGAGTTTGAATGCAGATTGAAGCATACTATTTGCTATTTTTTTTTCTTCTGTTGAGTTTTGTTTCCTCTTTCTGGTGGTTCCTTCTATTGGCTCTAATTCTTACTTACAACATCACAAATGTGAAAATATGTTGAATAGGAATGTATATGTGTAGCTTATATCAGATTGTGCTCCATCTTGGGGAGGGTGGTGGGGAGGAAGGGGGAGAAAAATTTTAAACTCAAAAGCATATGGAAGTGATTGTTGATAAATCAAAATAAATTAATAAAAAAGAGAAAATATAAAATTAAAAAAAAAAAAAGAAAATGCAGGTTGGGAGTGGTCAAAGACCTGAATATCATTCACACTAAAATTGTTCTCACAACAGAGTGGGAGACATGGATACATATGGAGTTGTGGTCAGAGATTAGAATTTTGAAGTTCAGGATCACGGTGGTTATGCAATTCTGCGATTATGAACTCAAAGTGTGACTTGTGGATGTGGAACTAAAGTGGGGATTGATGGGAGAGGTCACTTGGAACTGAGCAATTGCATGATTAAGATGTTAGAGAGAGAGACTGACAACATGACTTTTGAAGCATGACTTTTGAAGGGATAAGGTAGAGAGGAAGACTGTCAGACGCTAAAGTGTTTGAGGCATTTAGGAGAGTGACCTGGAAGGAAGTAGATAGGAATAAGCATATTGAGATTGTGTTATGAATATATTCCATGGACTTCAAGTGGAAAGGTTAGTGAGGGATGGAGGTAGAAAGATAAATGGTCAGGAAGCAGCATTTGGAAAGCCTGACCTTCCTGACTATGAGACTCCAGAAAAATGGAAAAAGGAATGTTCTCTAATGGTGAGAGTAGTAAGAAATGTGGTATTCTCAGGGGGACTCTATTCAACAGATATGACAGCTATCTCTCTTGGATATTTTACACAAATCATTCCTTAAGGCTGAGGACTGTCAGTCAGTCAACAAACATTTATTAAATGCCTATTATGTGCCAGGTACTGTACTAAGTAATGGGAATGCAAAAAAGTCTTAAAAGACAGTCCCTGTCCTCAAGGAGCTCACAATCTAATGGAGAAAGCAACAAACAAATAGGGACTAATAAGGTTATATATACAGGATACATGTATAGGATAAATGGAGGGAAGGCGTTAGAATCAAGAGGGTTTGGGGAAAAGTTTCCTGTAGATGAGAGTTTATTGGGACTTAATGGAAGCCAGGAAGTGGAGATAGGGAAAACATTCCAGGCATGGAGGCCAGCCAGAGAAAATGCCCAGAGCCAACATGTGGAGCATTTTGTTTGTGGAACAGCCAGGAAACCAGGTCACTGAATCAAAGAGTAAGTGGTGGGGGTGTAAGAAGACTGGAAAGGGAAGGTGATTAGGTTATGAAGGGCTTTTAATGGCAGAGGATTTTGTATTTGATCCTGGAGGTGAAAGGAAGTCGCTAGAGTTTATTGAGTAGAAGGGCTGATATGATAGGACCTACACTTTAGGAAAATCCCTTTGGTTGATGAATGGATGATGGTTTGAAGGGGGGAGAGGCAGGCCAACCCACTAGCAGGCTATTGCCAGGCATGAGGTGATTGAGGGCTTATACCAGAGTGGTGGCAGGGTCAGAAGGGAGAAGGAGGCATATTTGAGAGATGTTGCAAAGGTGAAATCAACAGGCTTTGACAACAGATGGGGTATGGGGGATAAGAGATTGTGAGGAGTCAAGGATCACTCCTAGGTTTGTGAGCCTCAGAGGATTGGGAGGATAGTGTTGCCATCCATAGTAACAGGGAAGATAGGAGGGGGAATGGTTTAGGGGGAAAGTTCAGTTTTGGACATGTTGAATTTAAGATGTCTGCTGGACGTCCAGTTCGAGATATCTGCAAGGTAGTTGGAGATGTGAAACTAGAGGTCAGCAGAGAGATTAGGTGGGAAAGGTAGATTTTAGAATCATGAGCACAGAGATGATAATTAAATCCATGGGAGCTCATGAGATCAAGTGAAGTAGAATAGAGGGAGAAGAGGGGGGCCCAGGACAGGGCCCTATGGGACACCTATGGTAAAATGGGCATGATCTGGATGAGGATCCAGCAAAGGAGACTGTGGTCTGACATATAGGAAAAAGAGCCAGGAGAGAGTAATCCCCTGAAAAGCTGGAAAGAAGAGAATGTCCAGGAAAAGGGAATGATCAACAGTGTCAAAAGCTGCAGGGATGTTAAGGAGAATGACATTTTGAGGAAAGGTCATTGGATCTGGCAATGAAAAGATCATTAGTATCTTTGAATCAAATGACTTCTTGTTTCTTCTAGCTTTAAGACACTATGTCATTTCTTTGCCTATCCTACTTGCAATTTACCCAAATATGCTCATAATTGCTCTTTGGATATTCTAGTCTCCTCCATTCTTTGTATATGTCCTCTCTATATGAGCATTATAAAATGGTCAAGAAGATTAATTGGATTCATGAAAATCATTTAGAAAAAGCACCAGACTGTGAGTATAGGAGACTCAGCATTGACTTTGAGCTTGGTCAAGGCCCCTAACTTCCCTAATGTCCCTTCCATTGCTAAAAGTTTATGAATCAATGAAAATTTCTTTTCTTACAGCTCGCAATGTGACACTTGATTCTCAGGTACAGCAGTCACTCTGTTCAGAAGCTGTCTTCAAATCAGAAGATAAAGAGGAAGCAGGACCATCACAGCCCATTTCTGACTTTGAAGAGTGTGCTATGAAGGAGATATCAGGTATGTCGATTTTTAAAAGGCGATATCAAGCTTATATGTAAGTCTAAGTACAAAAATGCCTTTCAAAGTTAAAGCTCTGTCTAAATCCTTCTCTGGATAATCCTCAACTCTGTTCCATAATGGAGATTTGATTTTCATTCTTTGAGCATTTTTTTTATGAGGGCAGCAGGTTAGCAGTCATGCAAAAGAGTTTGCATAACTTCAAAATAATAGATATAAAAATGGCTACTTCCTCATTTTTCTACTTTGCTTTCCATTGTAAATTTACTATTAACATAAATGAGGATAATTTATTACTTCAGTAAATCCAATAATCTTCTCTATATCATCGAGGCCACCTTCCAAGCATAATCACAGCTTGGACCTGACATCTTCTGCAAAAGTAGTATAAATCAGGCAAAGAAGCCTTATGATCTGGAACCCCAGATGCCAAAACTGTGTACAAGTGGTTGCTTCTACCATCAACAATTCAAAGGAAATAGATATGGAGCATCCCCTCAACCCCATACTGCAAAGGGACTACTCTCCTAGCTCTAGACTCCAAATTTTAGGTTGCCATTAATGACTGTAAAATCTTGTCTTTGAATGAAGCCATCTTTGTGGTCCTGCTACATTTCCACATGTTCATCGCCCAGTTCAGAAGAGGCAAGTGTACCAAACTAAGCTGGGGGGGAAAATGGACTCCATTGATTAAATCCCATCTTATCATAGTACATGTCACTAACAAAAAATTATGTATGGAAGTTGGAATTAAAAACAACAATTTCTTGACAGATTGGATTTCTCTTAATGAATATTATAGACATGTACAAAACAAGTTTCCTACAGTTGAGAGAGCCTCACTTGGAACACAGATCCCACAGCCCTAGCTTGTGGGTGGAATGGAATTGTAAGCTTATTTTCTTGGTCATTTCAGTTCCAAGAGTTAAAATTCTTAGCATCATTTGTTTCACTTACAGAAGAAACTCAAGTTGCTCTTTCTAGATAAAATGAACTTCCCACCAAATAACTGAGTTAATGTACAAAGAAGTCCCCTAATAATTTTAGCAAACCTAAAATCTACCCAATGTAAACAGTGTATGATAGAAAATAAACAAACAAAAAGGTCTCCGAGAATATCATAAAATACTAAAAGCAGGTACTTAGATAGCTAGATTGAACTGATAGTAATTCTAATGAACATTTATTACAGAAAAATTTGAAAAGTCCAAGGATGGAAGAAAAGAAAAAATCAACACATGGATTAATCACATATACTTCTTTTTCGTGAACACGTTCTTTCAAGCATACAAACATGAAGAAATCATAAAAGAGAAAATAAAGGAAAATAGAATATTGGAAGAAGAATTGGCCCAGAAGAAAAAAATTGAAAATGAAGAAGTGGAAGCAAGGTAATTTTTAAAACATAAAAATTAAATTTGTAAAAAAAACAAAAAGACATACTTATTCAAGAGACAGTAGCCTCTTGAATACTTTAATATGATTTTCCAAAATTTTATAGCAATGAGACATTGAGTGTCAAATGACTTTTTAACATCTAATTCATTCTTCATTCTTCATTTCTTTAAGGTGTTTTTATATTTCTTGGATTTTTTTTTGTAGATTAGCTCTTAGATATTTTATAAGAGCACCAACTCTCACAGGGTTGTTGTGCAGATCAAATGAGTTAAAATATGTAAAGTGCTTTGTAAACCTTAAGGGGCTATGTAAATGCTAACTATTATGGTTATTTTGAATAGAATTTCCTTTTTTATTATTTTCTCCTGGTTTTTGTTATTATCATATGGAAATGGTAGTGGCTCTTTTGAAATTATTTTGAATATTGTTGCTTTACTGAAGCCATTATCCCAGTTTTTTTGTTTGTTTTTTTTTTTTGCAAATCTCTTGAGTTTTGTAAGGAAATTATCATGTTGTATGAAAATAATTTTATCTTCTCATGCCAACGTTCACGTTTTCAATTTTTTATCTTATTTCTATTGTTAGCTTCTTGAAATTTGTGTTAAATAACATAGGGGCTGCCACCAAATGCTTTTTTGACTAAAACTGTACAATTTTTCCTAAGACTGTGCCCAACCATATTTTGGCTAGGTGAAACTCATGTGGCAAATTAGAAGAAACAAAATTAATACAGTGCTATGAACCACCTGGGCTTTAATTATTTTTCATAGTTTTAACTTTTTTATTTAACTATTTTTCACAGTTATTCTAACATGTCAGAATCATTTAAAAACAGTAGTTTTCTCAGTTTTTCTAATTTCCTTTTTTTGCCATTTCGATATCACATTTGCCACTCCTTTCTTTAGAGCAACAATATTTTCTAATATAAGTTAGTACGCACTTTTAAAAATGACTGTAAAGTCTTTATTCTAGCCTGATAGTAGATACTTTGGTCAAACATCTATCCTTATGTGTAAATGTCTCTATCCAATTGAAGAAAACACAATGCTAAATGGGGTGGGGGAAATCATATAGGAATGGCAACAATGCTACTATGAGCCCATTGTCATCCTAGCTTTTTTTTTTTTTTTAATGGTGAGGCAATTGACGTTAAGTGACTTGCCCAGACTCACAGAGCTAGAGAGTGTTATGTGCCTGAGTGTTAGGAACTCAGGTCCTCCTGACTCCAAAGCTGGTGCTCTATCCACTGCACCACCTAGCAGCCCCTATCCTAGCTAATTTAAACCACATTTTAAAACCTTGGTTGGTTATATTTGGTGCAATTAACACTAAAAGTCAGGCACTAGGGAGATGTCATTTGCAAGTAATTTTAAATGTCTTAAGAACATAATAGAGTGCTTCAGCTTTGGAAGAAACTTCAAATTTTAGGCAAAAGGTGGTGATGCAATTTACAGATGTCATTTATTTGCACACAGCCAAGCAACACTCCAGAGTGTAGCCAGAATCATATTAATGTGTTTTTCTAAGTCAATATGTGACCATCCAGGGATCCTCTTAAGGTTTAGTCTCTGCCTCACCCTCCTTCCCATTCCTTTCTAGTCGACAGCACTGCTATAGGGTGATTATAGCTGTTTTCTTGTTTTAGGAACTTAAAAAAATATTGCCAGTTTTGTTTATATGAAAATAGGTTTGAAGGTTTTTTTCAAATTTTAAAGAAAATTAAAATGTCCTTCTTTACTTGGTTTTAGGCTTAATCTTTTACTAGAGGAAGAAGCCAAAAGACAAGATTATGAGGTGATAACAATTAGTGTAATAACTAAAGACACATCAGAAGATTTACCTCATCTTACACCAAGTCCTCCTAAAGAAGAGGTAATTAAGATGACTACAAGTAAGAAAAAGAAAAGGTAAAAGGATGTTTGGTAACTTACTCCTAGATCAGGGCATGTAGACGTGACAAGAACCTTGGAACTCAAAATTCTACCATCATAACCAATAAAATCAAACAATTGCATTAGATTTCTATTTAGAAACTTTATTTTTAATAAATTTTTATTGACGTCTTTTGCCTTTATATAACCTACATTTCCCAGTGTATCTCATCATGTTAGACCTTCTAAAGGGCTATATCCTGTGTAACAAGGAAAAAAAATCAAAACTAGCCAACACAGCAAAAAGAGTCCGACAAATACATGCAGTATTCCACACCCAGAATCCCCAACCTCTGCAATGTGGGGAGAAATGTTTTTTCATCTCTTCTTGGAAGGCAAGCTTGGACCATCAGAATTTTGCAGCATTCAGTTTCCATTTGTTTTGCTGATTTTTTCACCTGTGTATTAGTTCCCATGCTTTCTTGCATGTCTTCCCATGCTTTTTTGTATTCATTACCTTGTTTCTTATAGTACAGTAATATCACATTCTACTTATATACTGCAACCTGTTTGGTCATTTCCCAAATAAGGGGTATCTACTTTATTTCCAATTCCTTGCTACTCCAAAAAGTGCTGCTATAAATATTTGGGTGCATATGGGGATTTTTTGTCATGAGCAGTTGAATCTCTTGGTCAAAGGGTATGGACATTTTAGTCACTTGTCTTCCAGTTGGTCCAGTCCAATTATTGGAATGATTCTTAGAAACACTTTAAAAACACTTCTTAAATAATAACCCAGTGAATTTTAGCATTTTTATGATGTCATTACTACAAATGTTGTACTTTCAAAATTGAGTCAAATGAAATATAGACGTACCCATAAAACCTAATTTGTCTTACACAAAAATTCTTGTAGTAGTATTCACAGTCCAAGACAATGAAGTCATAACTAGTTACAGGTATAGATGACGGAGCACTGCTTGGTATTGAAAAGAATTCAACAAAAATCTATTGAGCACTTAAAATATAGTATATGCCAGGATTTGTGATAGGTGTTGGGAATACAAAGACAAACAACAGTTCTGGCCCTCAAGGAGCTTACACTCTTACTGGGGGGAATGGGAGAAGAGGGAAAAACATATACAGTTAAAATCAAAATACATAGAAAACAAATACAAAGTAATTACATGATTAATTGATTTCAGGCTCAAAAAGAATTCCTGAAAGAGCTTAAAAAGGATTTTAAAAATCAAATGAGAAAGGAAAAATTGGGAAAAGAGTGATGAAAGAAATGAGCGATGAAAGAAAACTATGAAAAATGAGTCAACAGTTTGGTAAAGGGGACACAAAAATCTCTGAAGAAAATAACAGCTTAAAAAACAGAATAGGGCAAATAGCAAAAGAGGCACAAAAATCCACTCAAGAGAATGCTTTAAAAAGCAGAATTAGTCAAATGGAAAAGGAGGTATAAAAGCTCACTGAAGAAAATAATTCCTTAAAAATTAGAATTGAGCAAGTGGAAGCTAATGACTTTATGAGACATCAAGAAACAATAAAACAAAATCAAAAGAATGAAAAAATAGAAAATGTGAACTATCTCATTGGAAAAACAACTGATCTGGAAAATAGATTGAGGAGAGATAATTTAAGAATTATTGGACTATCTGAAAGCCATGATAAAAAAAAAAAGAGCCTAGACATATTTCAAGAAATTATCATGGGAAACTGCCCTGATATCCTAGAACCACAGGGTAAAATAGAAATTGAAAGAATCTACCAATCATTTCTTGAAAGAGATCCCAAAATGAAAACTTCCAGGAATATAGTAGCCAAATTCCAGAGTTCCCAGGTCAAGGAGAAAATATTGCAAGCAATCAGAAAGACACAATTCAAGTATCATGGAACCACAGGCAAGATAACACAAGATTTATCAACATCTACATTAAAGGATCGGAGGGCTTAGAATATGATATTCTGGAGGGCAAAGGAGCTAGTATGACAAACCAAGAGTCACCTACCCAGCAAAACTGAATATAATCCTTCAGAGGAAAAAATGGGCATTTAACAAAATAGATCACAGCTGAACAGAACATTTGACTTTCAAATATAAGACTCAAGAGAAGAGTAAAAAGGTGAACAGGAAAGTGAAATAAGGGATTAAATATGGTTAAACTGTTTGCATTTCTACATGGGAAGATGATACATGTAACTCCTAAGAACTTTATCATTAGGGCAATTAGAAACAGTATACTTAGACAGAGGGCATGGGTGTGAGTTGACTATGATGAGATATCTTTTTATTTTATTTTATTTTTTAATTTTTAGGCAATTGGGGTTAAGTGACTTGCCCAGGGGTCACACAGCTAGTAAAGTGTCAAGTGTTTGGTCTGAGGCCAGATTTGAACTCAGGTCCTCCTGACTTCAGGGCTGGTGCTCTATCTACTGCACCACCTAGCTGCCCTCTATAATGAGATATCTTTAAAAGAAAAAACCAAAAAAACAAAAAACAAAACAAAACAAAATAAAAAAACACCAAACAAACCAAAAAACCAAAACCCAAAATTAAGGGCTGAGAAAGAGAAATGATTGAGGGGACATCTAAAAAAATTAAGGGGTGAGAAAGAGGGATCCACTGGGAGAAGGGAAAGATAGAATGGAGTAAATTATCTCATGTAAAAGAAGCACAAAAGAGCTTTCACAGTGAAGGGGAAGAATAGGAGGGGCAGATAATGTTTGAACTTTACTCTCATCAGAATTGGGCCAAAGAGGGAATGATATACACACTTAACTGAGTATAGAAATCTATCTTATCCTACAGGGAAGTAGGAAGGGAATGGGATGAGAGAAGAGGACAGAAGACTGATAGCAGGGAGGCAGATTTGGGGAGGTGGTGGTGAGAAGCAAAACACTTGAGGAGAGACAGTGAAAGGAGAAAGAGAGAGAGATAAATGGGAAAAATAGGATGGGGGGAGAAATAGACAGTAATCACAACTGTGGAAAAATTTTTACAGCAAGTTTCTCTGATACATGTCTCATTTCTCAAATATATAGAGGTCAGTCAAATTTATAAGAATACAAGTCGTTCCCCAATTGATAAATGGTAAAGGATATGAACTGGTAGTTTTTACATGAAGAAATCAAAGCTATCTATAATTATATTAAAAATGCTCTAAATCACTATTGATTAGAGAAATGCAAATTAAAACAACTCTGAGGTACTACCTCATACCTTTCAGATTGGCTAGCATGACAGAAAGGGAAAATGACAAATGTTGGAGTGAATGTAGGAAAATTAGGACACTAAAGCAATGTTGGTGGAGAGGTAAACTGATTCAACCATTCTGGAGAGCAATTTGGAACAATGCCCAAGGGACTATAAAACTGTACATACCCTTTGACCCAGCAATACCACTACTAGGTCTGTATCCCAAAAAGGTGAAAAAACAAAAAAAAGGAAAAGGACTATATGTGAAAGAACATTTATAGTAGCTCTGTTTGTGGTAGCAAAGAATTGGAAATTAAGGGAATGCCCATCAATTGGGAAATGGCTGAACAAGCTGTAGTATATGATTGTGATGAAATACTATGTGCTATAAGAAATGAAGAGTAGGATGTTTTCAGAAAAATCTTGGAAGACTTACACAAACTGATGGAAAGTGAAGTGAGCAGAACCAGGAGAACATTGTACATAGTGACAGCAATACTGTATGATGATCAACCGTGAATGACTTAGCTATTCTCAGATATACAGTGATCCAAGACAATTCTGAAGGACCTATGATGAAAAATGCTATCCACCTCCAGAGAAAGAAATGATGGAGTCTGAATGTAGATTGAAGCAAACTTTTTTTTAACTTTCTTAACTTTCATTTATTTATTTGGTCTGTTTTCTTTCATGTGACTAATATGGAAATGGATTTTGCATGACTCCATATGTAAAACATATCAAATTGCCTGCCTTCTCAATGAGGAGAGGGGAAAGAAGGAGGGAAGGAGGGAATTTGGAACTCTAAATTTTTAAAAATGAATGTTAATTGATTTTACATGTAATTGGACATGTTTTTTTAAAAAGCTAAAAAAAAGAAAATTCCACTATTTAAAAGGCATGCAAAGATAGACATTTGAGCACTTCTACCTAAAAGGGAAGACTGTTTTGTGTTTAAATATGAGGAAAGGGAACCCATGCTTTTTAAATCATTAAGGCAAAGTTTAAAATTTTTTTTTTTACTTTTATGTTGTTTTTAAATTATTTTGGTTTGTAAGGAAAATAAAGTTTAGTTTTGTTACTTTCTATAAATGCTTTGAATATCTGCCACCGTACAATTTGGTGAGGCAAGAATGGGAATCCTATAACTTTGCTAGATATTTTAAAACTTACAATCTTTTTATAATATCCAGGATTGACTAGGAACAATCACACTTAAGCTCATTAACAATTATATCCTAAAGTAAAAGTAGTGAATGAAAAGAAATGTAAATAAAAAATAAAAATCTTTGAAATTTTTTAGCAATTTATTCATTTTATTTTCCAGTAAAATAGTCACATAATATCAGAAGAATGGAATGGCATAGATGTAGCAGACTTGCTTTTAATAATTCCACTTAAATATTTAAAATCTAAAAATTTTACAGTCAGAGTTACGGATTTGATAGAAATTTGATTCTTACAAAGCAAGTATTGCTTTACTATTATCATTAATCCAGTCAATAATATGACTAATAACCAGTAATGTTAAACAAAAATTTTATGAATTTTTAGACACTTTAAATAAGCTGTTTTGTTGGTCAATCCAAGAAGAATATGTTGTTGAATTGTGTTGCACAAAGTTTCTTTACTTCTTCTGCAAAAACAATAGAAAACACTGAGAAAAGCAGATGTCCTTATTGCCTTTGCCCCCAAAGGTTACGTTGTGAATTACCCTTGACCCAAGTTCCAACAATCTAAAAAACTTTTTATACAAGAAACAAACTAGATGCTAGCTGACAGAATGCTGGGCATGTTGTCAAGAAAGCTTGAATTCAAATTTGGCCTCAGAAATCACCTGGGCAAGTCATTTCAACCTCTCTGGTCCTTAGTTTCCTTATCTGTATAAGGAAAGGTTTAGACTCAATAGCTTCTACTATCTCTTCTAGCTCCAAAACTATGATCCTATGAATCTAGGTATCTTTTTTTTTTTAAGGCAATTGGGGTTAAGTGACTTGCCCAGGGTCACACAGCTGGTAAGTGTCAAGTGTTTGGTCTGAGGCCGGATTTGAACTCAGGTACTCCTGACTTCAGGGCTGGAGCTCTATCCACTGCGCTACCTAGCTGCCCCTGAATCTAGGTATCTTTAAAGTAGACTGACAAATCTTTAAAATTTCTATCAATAACGTATGCTTCTGGTGGGACCTGGCCTTAAAAATTACCACAAATTTAGCAATTCCTAAAAATATGACTTTGGATACATAATAATTATTTGTATTCATCAAAATAATAAGGACTCTAAGATTATCTGTTTAATCCCGAATTTTAAAATTTTCTGAAATCATTATACTAAATAATTTTATAATTCTTAAGTGAATAGCAACAGGACCTCGCAGTGTGCAAACTTCCTCTAACATAGGCCACAAGCCATCTATGCCTTCTTTACTATGTCCCATGAAGTTGCCCAAGACACGTGGAGGTCAGTGACTTGCCCAGGTTTACATATCTAGTAAGCATTGGAAGTAGGATTTTAACCCAGGTGGTCTTGACTCCAAGCCAAGTTGCCTCTTACAATCCTTATAGATTCACAAAGCTTATTTTGTTTTCATTTTCCCCTAACTAATGAAATGTCTGGCAAGGGAAAAGGAAGAGAATAAGCATCTATATAGGGCCTAGTATGTGCCAGGCACTGTGATAAGTGCATTACAAATATTAACTCATTGCTTCTCACAACAACCCTGCAAGCTAGGTACTGTTATTGCCCCAACTTCACAGTTTGGGAAATGGAGGCAAATCATAGGTTAAGTGACTTGCCCAAGATCAGATAGTGTCTGAGGTTGGATTTGAATTCAGGTCTTCCTCACTTGAGGCCCAGTGCTCTATCTACTGAACCACCTGGCTGTCCCGGGTTCCCTGGCAGGGATAATATAAGTACAAAGAAATGTCAAAAACAGACATCAAACTTACCATCTGTGATATTTGTCTATAATACACACCATAGAAGATATATACAAAAATCTAAAGTTCAGATTTCTTATCGCAGAAAAAAGTTGCTTGCCCCATCTCTATTTATTTATTTACTATTTATTATGCGGCAGTAATGTTTGCCTGAAGGCAAAATGCTGCATAGAGTAAGGATGGCTACTCCTAACTTTTATTCAAACTCATCAGAATACCCAGAATACAGTCACCAGAAATATGGCAACATCAGTCATGCTATTATGTAGCTGGAGAACGCCAATCACTTTCAATTGACAAGTTATACTTGCTCCTGTACATGATGACAGATCTAAAAACTATCATACAAACTAGAAGATTCTGTAAAAGGTAAAAGAATAAAATTTACTGCTTTTCTACATTAGTTTTTTTTTTCTTTCAGGAAAAATGGCATTTGCACAGAATGTGGCAAACAATGTTTTTATTTTGGATAATAGAACTATTATTTTGGATAATAGAACTATTGAAACAATTTATTTTTCAAGTATTTTCACAATACAGAACTCTTTAAACAGGGAAGTAAACTTTAATGGGGAGATTATTTTCCATAAAGTTATGAACATTATGGCCAGAGTAGTTACTAAATGCATTAGTTAAAAACAAAGCCCTGATTATCCATGATTTTGTTCTACTTGTTACTCAAAAACTACACCAAGTCCAAATATCTGGGTTCAAGGCCCAGCTCGGTGACTTATTAGCTGGGTGACCGAACAAATCATGCCTCAAAGTCACCTGTAAAAATGAAGATAATGTGCTAAGCCTCACAACAACTTTGCGAAGTAGGGATTACAGATAATCTCCATTTTATGGATGAGGAGCTAAGCCTCAACAACATTAAGTCACTAGCCTATAAGTGTCTCAAAGAGGCAGCATTTGAACCCAAGTCTGACCAAAAGGTTCCAGCTCTATCCCCTGCACCACAAAACATAAGAAGTGTTTCAAATAATTTGAATGTCTAGGATATGGAGGAAAGAGTGGGCTTGTTCTATGTTGCTCAAAGGCAGAATGAGGGCCAGGAAATGAAAATCGGGAGACAAATTTGGACTCATCGTGATGAGTGAGTTGTTGGACAATAGAAGCTGCCTCCTGGAATACTGTAGTGTTCAAGCAGAGGCTGAATGAATGCCTGGGAGGCCATAGGAGGTCTTCCTGCACTGCTGGGATGCTGGACTAGAGAGGCTGGACCTCCGGGGTCCCTTCCAACTCTAAGATCCTAGGAATGAAAGCAGCTCCCTTGGTGGACCTCACTTAAGACTCTAGTCTAAATGCACCAAACTGCATTTTTTGGTGTCCGACAACAGACTTCTGACCAGGCTTCATCCTACTTTATGGCCCTTAATTAACACATGTAAAGTTTTTCAAAATGACTTTTTTTTCCTTTTGTCTGAAAGCAGACTTCTTTTGCTGATCCCATACATCTTCCCAGCTTCTGCCTACAGGCCTTTCTTGACTTGTAGTTTTTCTCTTATGGGTTCATGGCCACGTCAGCATTTGAATAGGGGATATTGCTGATATGTTACATTGTGATGAACTTAAGTCATTTCCTCTACATGTGTGTGACTGCATGTGTTATGTTTCCCCAACTAGATTATAAGCCTCCTGACAAAAAAAGATAATTCTGTTAACAATTTCACAGGACTGGTACATGCAAAAGCACTTTGTAAACTATAAAGCACTACACAAGTATAAGGGATCATTACCATATTTTTCTTAATAATGATACATTGAAATCCAGTCAATTTGTTGGCCTCAATAACATTAAAGTATCACTTAAACACCAATGAATACTTACCATTGACCTCAATCAGGTTGGCATTTTTTTGATTCAAAATAACATAGAGTTCCCGCTGATCTGATTTTTTCCCAACAACCCAATAGTCACTCATTGCCTTCACAATGATTTCCTCATCCTCATCCATTCTGTAAAACAAATTTCATTATGTAACTTTATAGATATATTAGTATAAAAATGTGGATGCAGATTATGAAAAGTCAACATTGAAAAAATTTCAAGAAATCACAGAGAATTTTAGTAGATAACATCCTTCAGGGTGTTATGTATGAAATGAACAGCTGTAGGAAAGAGCAGCTATAGCTACTGATGGGCTTTTTAAATTCGGAGAATTCTGAACATGCAGCTTGGGGAAATGATTACAAAGTGATCATGGGAAACTAATGTGATGCAGAAAGCTCTCCCTGCATTTTAAAGGGTCATTATTTTTAGCATATGGCATCTATTCTGAAATAAAACTATGAAAATTACCTTGTAAAGTCACTGTTGATATCACCTAGAATCTTCATGAGGTCAGGATGAACAGATGTAAGTGAAACGCTAGGCGTTTTCCTCATGTGAATTGTACTTTTCTCTGCTAAATTCATATGATTGAAGTAGATAAACTTAAATTGGGGCTCCTTTTCAGACCTGTGAAAATATGTTAACAAAATAATCAGTAAAATATTTTTAAAAGCACTGAATTATCCAATCTATGTAAATATATTCCCTTAAGAATCTTAAGTGCTATGGCTAACTGATATTTTCATTCTCCAATTGTCAATAAAGAGATTTCAAAAACGTGAGTCTTCAAAAGTAGTCATCTCAAGGGTCAGATATGGCTATTAATTATAATGACTATCTTTTAGTGATTCTTTTTTTGATAAAGCAGGGTGTTTTGCATATAGTGGACATTCAACAAGAATTTGTTGACTGACAAAGATATAAACTATATTAATGTTAAGTTTCAGTTCAGATAGGACATTGATTAGTACAATCAGATTTAACTTATCTACATCCCTGGGTGTTACAGCATTCCACGTAACTGAATTTTCCAAATAAATAAAGTTTTGAAAACAGTCACTTTAATAACAACCAGAACAAAACTTTTCAATGTGGAAATCTAAAAGATATCACACACTTTCCTGACTTCTATAATAGAATATCCTGACTACAATTTAACCTTGAGTCATTATATCAGCTATGCTAGTACCGTGACGCACTGAGTCTACTATTTGCCACTACATTAAACTGCCCTAGACTTCTATGTATTTTCAATTCTTTGTAAACTTGTGTTCTTAGGGATGTTAAGATGTGTCTCTGCCCTCAAGGTGCCTAGAATGTGCTGGAAGAAGATATGAAATGGATATAGAGACATATGAGGCAATGTAAGAAGGAATAATGAAGCCAAAAAAGAGATTCAGACAGGTTCCCAGAACATCTGAGGAGGTAGAGAACACTTTAGCTGGGGGTGCCTATATGATGATGGGAATAAGGGAATACCAACTTTGTACTTTATTACACCAGCCCTGTCACATCTATTTTGTTTGCTCAGAGGCCCTTTTCCCTTATGCACTGGTTTCTGGTGGAGTTTCTTCTAAGTAAGCAAGGTGTCACCAAATATTCTCTCATCTACTGCTTATCACCTCTGTTAAACATTAAGTACATACCTAGTGCATTAATAAAAATGAACTAGGGGTTAAATACACATTTTACAGATTAGGCACTAATATTTGGTACTTGGTATGGGTAAAGCAGATTGATCATGTGCCCATCTAAAGGCCAGTGGTGAAGAGAGAGGGCTAAGTCTGATGGTGAAGCCATGGCCCTAACTTGAGAGGATGACGTTCTTTGAACTATATCTTTACTTCCAAAAATGCATTTCTTTGGAGAAAGAAGATAAGTAATAGGATCACCTGAACACTAACACAGCTTTCCTATCCATACTTTTTTCCCATAGCTGTTGAATTAAGTATCAAAGATCTGTCTGTTATTGCTACCTCTTAATTCCACATGATTCTACTTCCTATGTTAGCACAGACAATTAACCAAATAGGCAATTAAATTATTTTTAATTTTTAAACAACTGATAAAAGGAATCTTTTCTCAAGTCCTCACTAAGAAATAATCTTCTAGGGGCAGCTAGGTGGCACAGAGGCAGCTAGGTGGTGCAGTGGATAGAGCACTGGCCCTTGAGTCAGGAGGACCTGAGTTCAAATCAAGCCTCAGATACTTCACACTTACTAGCTGTGTGACCCTGGGCAAGTCACTTAACCCCAACTGCGTCACCAAAAAAAAAAAAAAATGAAATAATCCTCTTTATAATAATCCTCTTTCATTTTCTGCTCTTCTACGTTCATATCTCTTACAATTTAATGTTGGATTTGGCTAATTGAATTAGCCAAATAGTCAAACCTATTGTTATAGTATTATACCAAGAAGGAAAATTAAAAAAAAAGTTTAGATAACATATGGTCCCTGACCTCATCTATTTGCTAGTAGAAATATAAAACGTAACTGATTAAAAAAGTATAGAGTCAGTGTACAAGACAGGTGTTATAAGTCTTTTTCAGTCATGTCCAACTCTTTGTGGCTCCATGGTTTTCTTGGCAAAGAAACTGGAATGGCTTGCCATTTCCTTCTCCAGCTCATTTTGCAGATGAGGAAACTGAGGCAAACAGAGTTAAGAAACTTGCACAGGGTCACACAACTCGTGAGTGTCTGAGGCCAGATCTGAACCCAGGAAGATGAGTCTTCCTGATTCCAGACCTCATACTCTATTCACTGTGCCACCCAGCTGCTCTTGATAAAACAGGTACAAAATACTATTTGAGGCCCAAAGGAAAAAAAGTTACTGGAGAATGTTTCCTACAGGACACCTGAGTTAGGCTCAGTTAGTCCTTAAAGGACATGAGGGAATTCAGCAGTCAACTGGGATAAAGATATTGTGAGCAAAGCCAGAGAGGCAGGAATGTTCAGGGCAAGCATAGATTTCATAGTGCAATTTGGTTGAAGCAGGGTCGTGTAGAAAGGTTAGATAAATCTTGAAAAGTAGAATGGCACCAGATTGTAGACAGTCTTAGAGTAAAGGCAAAAGAATTTGAATTTTACTGAATAGGTAATAGGGTTCTAAACAAATGAGTGACATATTTTCATAAGGAAGGTAAGTCTGGCAGGGGTGTGAAAAGTTGATGTGGAGGGGGAGAGAGTAAAGACTATTCTAACAGCTTAATAGGTGACTGGTCTAAGGTACAGCCATATCTACATGTGCCAGAGGTATGCTGCAGAAGGAGGTTTTGGAGTCTAGCCTGAATCACTGTGTGGTTGCATTTAGAAGCATTGTCGGCATGAATGCTAAAGTTTCTCAGGATGGCAAGGGAGAATACAACAATAAATTAGGTGCTACAGTCCCTAAGGAAATTGGAAATGATTTGGGAGGCTGGTTTGATACTAGAAAAAGGATGGAGAGAGAGTGGTATAAGTGGATTACAGGGATGAACAAGTTACTGAGAGAAAGAAACAGCAATGGGGAGTAAGCCAATTCCTCCTACTGACCTGGCAAAAACTGGCCAATGAAAGGCAATGGGATACAGTGGGGAAAGTGCTGGGATTGGAATTAGAGGACTTGAATTTGAATCACGGCTCTGCCACTTATTTAACTTCGTGATACTGGGCAAGTCAATCTATATATAGGCCTCAGTTTTATCATTTGTAAAATGAGAAGGACTAGATCATCTCTAAGATCCCTTTTCCATTTCTAAATCGATGATCCTATGAAATGGAACACGTTTAAGATATCTGATAGAGACAGGGAAAAACTTGGTTTCAATTAAAGTTAATGCATGCCAAAGACAGTCTTTACCAGTAACTGAAGTAAGATTGAAACTGTTTTTACAGTTAAGGTGTCAGAAGCTACATCTAGAATGAAATAAACTAGATCTAAGTATTATACTTTTTAAAACCTTATTTTCTAGAAATAATTAGAATGGCAAACTAAATTTATATCCCATAGTAGTAACCACAAATTTAGCACATTATGATATATGCATGTGTCTGCATGCATATATAACCTAAAACCTCCCTAAGACTTCTGGGACTTCCTGTATAATTAAATTGTATTTCACAGTCAAATACATACATCCCTTGAGAATTCCACAGCTAGAAAGAATTCCTTCCCTCTTTGTCATTCCATCACTACTTCAATATAGTAGGCTCATAAGCTAGTCTAGTCAAAATAGCTTAATTCTGTTCTCATTTGAGTAATACAATTTTATTAGTTTTCTCAGAAACCACCTGTTAAAATTCCCCTACATTAACCATTAAGATATAATTGATAGATTTCTTCAACTTTACTCCACAATATTTTTAAAAAGTAACGCAATGATTCAGTACACAAGTACTATTTCATATATATCTTAGCTATAACTTACAAAATAACAATTAGTAGTTATTGCATGTGATAAATATCTATTTTGGTGATCAGAAACACATGAACAAAACTATCTAATAAAAAAAGATCAAATATTTATTGCTATTGCTGAATCTCATCAATTAATAGTCTAGACATTTTCCACTATTACTGAGGAGTACCTGAAAACAAAATTAAACTGACTTCTTGGACAGCTTAAGAATATCAGGTCTAAAAAAATGACACAAAGACTTTGTTTCAAGATTTATATTTAAATTAAAATATCAGGCAAACCTGGTCTTTGTTGTAATTGACTGCCTAGTCCATTCACTTGCAACATTTTTAAGTCCAAATGCATGGCCTCATACATTAAGGTTGGAAGCATTAGACTGATATGTCACGCGGACCCTGGAAAATAATTTTTCTTTAAAAGACACAGTCCTTTTCCAAGTAGAGATGAGGAAACACCTTACAAGTTACTCACAAAACACAGGATAGACACAGGATAGATTCTTAAGAGAAATCTTTCAGGCAATTGTAAAAATAACAAATAATTTAAACAATGTGGTAGGTGGGTAAAAATTTTATCAAACACAATTGCACCAGCCCTAATTTTTTTTTTTTTGATGATTAGAAAGCCAAGTAGTTATGCCTCCAACTGGAGACTTTTCTTTCATGAAATAAATGTCTCCTTTTTTTGTATGACACTTAATAATGGGAAATACAAAATTATTTTAAGTGTCTGGGTTGTGTATTTTAGCATGGAAAGGCTTAATTTTCCCAAGCAACTAATAGAGAAATGAAATGGTTTCTACCGAATTTGTAAAAATTATGTTTCTTATGCCAGCTTATTAATTTATTTGGATGTTTTACAACAGGTAAGGTACTTTTTTCTTTGAATTTGTCTGTTGCTTGGAAGGATAAGGAGACATGTCAAAGTGAAAGTAAACTTAAATATACCACAATTTTTCTCCTTGTTATAAGGTACAGTAGAGATTGCAGCAGACAGCAAATACAAACAAGGATCATTCTGTCTATCCCTTCCACCTTTATTGGTTCCTTTAAATGTAGGATTAACAGGGGCCCACTGATGTTCAGAAATGTACTTTCTCTAACTTTGGAAACGAGAAAGCAAAAATAATGTGCCTTGGAATATAGCCAAAATTGCAAGTGTAGGCAAACACATATAAGTGTATGGAAAGCTGACTACTATTCTTTTTTTTTTTTTTTTTTTGGTGAGACA